TTTCCCTTAGCTCCCTTAATAAGCCACCTCTCTTCTATATCTTTGTCCATACGGTCCCCCCCCACCACCACCAAATACGTTCTCTGCTTCTTTTGAAGGCACTTGCTTATTCTTGAAACTGCCGCGTCTCCACACCCAGGGAAAGGCACAGCGTATCCTTCCGCTCCAGGCAGAGGGCAAGCTCCCCCGGCCCTGGCCCAGTGGGGCTGGGGTGTGTCAGTCCATCCTGTCTCTCTGAGAGTCTCCCAGGCCAGAGGATCCCCGGGTCTTCGGATCACGAAAGGAACCACTGAGGTCAGGCCAGATGCTCTTTATTCTCCAGCTGGGGGTGGCTCCCCAGAGTCCCCACGGAGGAAAATCCCAGCTGGCTGGAGAGCCTGGATGTGCTTGGCTAACAGTGTGAAGGGCCCGTGATCAGCTCTCACGCTGTCCAGAACCGTGCAAACTGAGTGGAAGGAAAGGCAGGCCACTTCAGGAGGGGCCACCGCCAGTCTCTCTCAGTCTGGGGCAGGCAGAGCAGGGGGGCCGAGGAGCTGGCCGGCAGCCTGCAGGCCGGCAGCGTTTCCACAGGTGGTAGGTGAGGAATACCAGAAGAAGCAGTGCCAGCACCAAGCTGCCAGTCCACAGGGCTTCGGACGTTGGGGGGCCGCCTGGAGAGAAACGTGTCAGGAGCCTGAACACCTCTTTGCAGGTTGTGGGGAGAAGCCCAGCAGAGGCTGCTAGGGGTGTCCAGATTTACTGAGTTCCCCCACATGTTACATGGGACTTCACCGCTTAGAATGTCTTTGAAATGTGCAAGACCCCTGGAATGTCCCCAGGACTTTAGTCTTTCGGAAAGTACTTGGGACCTTATCGTAAGTAGGGGGCTGTCCAGAGGCGGCCACCCGCCACGTCTGCGCTGGAAATGCAGCTCCTTGGGCTGGAGAGGGGCCGTCAGTGTCTCGTTCGTACCTTTTTACACATTGCGTGTAGAAACGATGCTGTTTGCAATACACTGGTTCCGTGAAATATGTCATCTAACTTATTTTTACTCTTTTTCTGTGTGGCTGCTGGAAAACTCGAAGTGACTTCGGTGGCTGTACCCTACTTCTATTTCACAGGCTGCTGTAGCCTCTAACGTTCAATTTACACACTGCCGTGAACCCTGCGTGGTCCTTGATATTTACAGTCATCGCCATGCCAGGTGATTGTACTCTCGCGGTGAGGGAGAAGCCCCCTGGATGGTTGGGAAAGTCTGGGCAGGGCACCTCCATGTCTGAGGCCTTGATGCAAGGCTCACCTCCCTCCCAGCCTCCCCAGCACCGACTCCACCCAAACTCACAGACTTCTGGGACTAGGTACAGACTGGCTGTCTGCCCCCCTGGGTCCAGGCGGCACTGGAACCAGCCCTCAGGGTGGCATCCGGCCCACGGCACGCTCAGCTGAGCTCGGGCCCTGGTCTCCCGCCTCTCATAGGCCTCCAGATGGCCGGGGGCCCGGGTCCAGCGCACAGCCACGCCTGGGCCACAGTCCGCCTCGCACAGCAGCTCCAGACCCGCTGGCGCTGGCGACTGGCGGATCTTGGGGTGGCAGGGCACGATGGAGCTGTTCCCGGGCTTGGGGTCAGGACTCCTGGGGCTGTGGCTGGAGCCCTGTTGCAGAGTGGCTTCCGGGGAGGTAGTGACAGGGGGCTCCTGGGACGTCAGGCTGTGCAGGACTGAAAAGAAGGTACCCGCTTTTCTCCCCGATACCCTGTGGCGCCTCATGCCTCTGTCTCCCCATCCATCTCCCTGCCACTACAGGCCCCCCGCCCCGACCTCAGTCTCTCCATCCAGACCACAGGGTTGGATCGGAACTGCTCCAAGCCTGGGGCCGCTTGGGTGGTCGCAGTATATATCGGTGGGTTGAAGCGGCCCCCCCAACCCTGAGGGAGTGTCTGGATCACCATGTCTTCCTCCTCCCAACTGGAAGGGGTGAGAGCCTCCCCCAGGGTCACACAGGCCAGGCTTCCAGAGTGTGGCATCAGTGAGCACTGGACTTTGCTACATGGGTCTGGGAGGTGGACAGAGGGGAGGGCGCATCTGACACACTGAGCACCTACTGCGCGCGGGGCCCCGTTAACTGTTCTGTCGTTCGCCGCTCGGCGATCGTCTACTGTGCGCCTGCTGTGTGTTGGGCACGATGATTAGAGTTAGTCACTCATTCAGCACACACCTACTGGGCACGCAGCCCTGGACAAGCAGACACAATCCTACCTCGCAGAAGCCAAGGGCAGGGCAAACAGTTAATGGGAAAAAAATAAAGAGAACAT